CTCATAGACCAGACTTTTTTTTTTCACAATTCTGAGAGAAAAGGTCAATATTGTAAGATATATATTCAGAATTGTGAGATACAAACTCTCAAATTTGCTAGAGAAAACAAAGTCAGCATTGTGAGAGAAAAAGTCACAAATACCTTTTATAATGTTTTTTGTTCGGTAATAGAAACAAAAAAACAGAATTGCGAGACGTAAACTCAGAATTCTAAGAAAAAAGTCAGAATTGTGAGACATAAACCTGCAATTATGAGATTATAACTTACATTTGCAAGATTCTAAGAATCAAAAAGTCACAATTACCTTTTTAGTTTGTTTATTCCGTGGCAGAAATATCCTTCCATAACTTCTACATGCTTCACCCTCATGCATTAAGGATGTAAATGAGCAACCTAATACTTACCACTATAACAAAACTAATCACACATTTTTCTGCTTTTATTTCACATGTTTACTTTCATCATTTATAGTTTGGTCCTCAGAGATGTCAGCATTCTGAATTATATTAACAGTCACACTTTGTTCCTTTGTGTTCTGCTGTAATTAAACACAGCTTGAGTTTAATACTTCTTATCATTGTAATGCTCTCTGTGCTCTTATCTTGTCATGTCTTTCTGTTTATGTCGCTCTCTTCCGATCAGCTCTGGAATGAGGAGCTTGATAAAGTAAGTGTGACATGACAAATATATGCATTGATGTTTGTATATATTCTGTAGTAATGTTTAGTTACTGTCTTCTGGTTTGTTTGTCGTTAATTTTCGGGTTTAGCACAGAGCACTTTATACACGTTGCTAATGTGCAGGGTTATTGTCAACTAAAGCTAAAATTAAAACTACAAACATAAAAAACAATTTTTTTGTTACTTGAAAAAATAAACGTGAACTGAAATAAAATAAAAAACATCGTAATATATTATTTATTTATTAAAAAAAATTTTCAGCTAGTTACCAAGAGATAATTTCTTATTTTCTTTTAGCATAATTTTCTAAAATAACTAAGACTAAAATAAAATCAATAAGAATTATAGACTAATAAAATATAATTATGGACTAATTTAAACTAATAAAAATGTTAGAAACACAACAAAATTGCTAAAATTTTAACTGCATTTAAAATGAAAATGTAAAATATACAAATACAAACTAATTTCAAATATTAATAAAAAACTATAGTAAATGATACATAAATAACACTGCTAATGTGATGGGTCAATTAAAGGAGTCATATTACGTTGCTAAAAAGAACATTATTTTGTGTATTTGGTGTAATGAAATGTGTTTATGCGGTTTAAGGTAAAAAAAAAAACATTATTTTCCACATGCTGTACATTATTGTTTCTCCTCTATGCCCCGCCTTTCTGAAACGCATCGATTTTTACAAAGCTCATCGGTCTGAAAAGTGAGGTGTGCTCTGATTGGCCAGCTATCTAGTGTGTTGTGATTGGACGAATACCTCAAGTGTGTGACCGGAAATGTTACGCCCCCTCACCATATTGTGATGCTGTGTCTGGCCGGAGTGACGAGACAAAAACATTAAAACCCATTATAAACGAGGCATTTGTTGCGTCCAGTGGGGACATAATTACAGATTATAATGACTTATATTGTCTTTTTGCACATTGCGTTGCGTATCGCGCCGTATTATAAAACCATTTGTCTGCATTTGTGATCGGAGAAACGACAAACAACAAGAGCTACTCTACACTGCTCAAAATTTGCTTTGAATCATAAGTGGCAAATTCTTTAAATATGAAAACATACTTACAGGTTGTGAGTCAGTTTAGGTTTGTAGGTTCAGGAAACAGTCCTCCGTTAAATGCGTTGCACACACACGAATATTTGGGTTGAACTGTTCTGGAACAGTGTTGTTCTGAACCACTGATTTCTAGTTGTGCCCTCTTTTGGAAGACCAAACAAAGTATTTTCCCTTTCGCAACGAGAAACACAGCGTCTCCACGACATGGCGGCAACAATACAGCGAGAATAAAAGTTACTCCTCCTTTCTTTGCGTGAACATTTGGGCGGTGTTATGCAAATTGTCCCACACAGTGACATAGACATGTGGGGG